TTAGTCAGTCCAGTTAATGCTCAGTAACCCTGTGTTCTTTGTGGCTCTTGTGGACCACAGTCTTCTTAATGCCTTCTTATTACCATGGTCTGGATAGCCGCTTGATCGCCTGGTGCGCTTGGCCAAGCCAGAAAAAGTCAATGAACGTGCGAACCGGCTGATCTATTGATCTCTATCGCGTACAAGCTGGTCAAAAAAGTGATACTAAGAATACAACTCATCTGTCAAGGACGAGTGAAAAACAACCAATGAAATCCGTCTCAACTCAACGAAAAATTCCACTGGCTGTTATATAGTCCCGGTAGGTTCGTGCAAACTCGAATACAAATCTGAATACGTTCTTCGTTATGGGCACTGCCTAAAGCTTCATTGTTGTGCGGAATAGCCTTATTCTTAATCACAACAGATTGGGTCACTGACCTGCACTCACAGTTGTTCCTCCTTTGAGTGTCCCAGTAAAACGTCGTAATGGTTGACGCAGAACAACCGAGTAGTTTTTAATCGTGATCTTGTTTAATTAAGTTTACGATGAAATCGAAGTTGACACCACGACCGGGAGAAAATCGACAAAATCTATCCCGAATCTGTTCCGTTAGGCAAGGAAGTTGTGACCTATTCAATCTTGGAGCGGTGTTCAGTAACACAATTACGTTGTTCAACCTGGAGTTTTGGGTCTGTCTGAATAGATGACGGATTAAATTTTCCAACTTACTTGATTTGGTCCGCCGACCACGAGCAACTGCCCTTATCTAAACACGAACAAGACAATGGTTAGCATGTAGTTTCCGAAACCGGATGTTATTCCACGTATTTCTGGCTCACTACGGGTGTTACTCGACATTTTTTCGTCAAGATAAGAATGTACGCAAAACAACGTAGTTTCCGACCCAGTCATCGGTTAATTGTCAGGCCAGAATTTTTGGGTAGCAAAAACCTTCCAACAAAGATTGACTCGCCAACTACATCTGGCTACTCAAGATTCAATCAGAGGAAATTTGTGGCCTAGAAAGTGCTCACAATCCATGAACCCAACTATTTTGTAATAACGGCTCAGGAAAACACCGCATCTCACTGTTGGACAGCTTTGTGATCTTCAAGGTTTCAATCTTTGCAAGTTTGATCGTTAGTCCCGAGAAATGCTGTTTGACGTGGTCATTGCTTTATCTACTCATCTCGGACACTGATGACAACAAAGTACAAGCTGCTATGTGTATGCAGAGTTGAATAGCTCATTATTGCTGGTGTCAGAATTGGATTGGTTAACTCCCGGCTAATCCGTATTGGGGACGGTACATGCACGTGACTCAGGGTAGTCAACTAATCAAAACGTGTCAATTTCTCATGCCTCGGTTGTTTTTTGGCTAAACGCTAAACATTTGAATGAATGTCTTTGGTTCATAGTATTGAATCAGTGCATTGGGAATGCGTTTAAATTTAGCAGGGCGGACGGTCCTTACTTGTGCGCTTGATGGAGCAACCAGTTGGTGGATAAACAACCCCGAACTTTGGCGGTTACCAGATAATTCGACTCACTAAGGGTATGACATATTCGTATGGTTGAGCACACAATATGGCTGAATGGAATACCCAGTGGCACCGGTCCGCAATCAGAAATCCTCAGTTGATTGTAAGGATAATCGGAGGTCGTTCGCCATAGGAAGTTCATTGTCAAGGATGAAAGCGGAGAAAAAGTACTATTTACCAATCGGGTTTGACCTAACAGACTTGCCCTGAAATCGCTCAGTGCAAAGCCAAGCAGTGAGCATCATTGGTTCAATTCAACGCAAGTACACTAGATCCGTTCTACCGAAGAATTCATCTGAATTTAGGGTGGACTAGGTCACATAAGCATCATACAATTTAAACTGAGAATTGTAATTTTAATCGCTTAGAATTAACCTATATCGTCTGTATCGGTATTTTTAGCGGGGCGTTAACAGTATGTCCCAAGTGTTTACAAGGACCGAGTCAGCTACTCAGCATTGTTGATTGATTGTCCCCAGCAAAGCAATTTGATCATAGAATTCTATGTGAAAACAGTTTTAGCGGATAACTTAAGGTGAGTGAGAATTCCATCGGAAAATTTGTTGAAGACAATTAGGATTATCCTACAAGCAACTGAAGGCAAATAATGGCAAAACTCTCATAAAAAATACCCTAAGCGGATCAAGCCCAGCTTTGAATGAGCTCATTACGTGTGACTGATGTAACTGCTCCTTCGAAAGTATAAATAGGCCCATCATTTTCATGGATTTTTTGACGATACGCGCAGTGTTACCGATTATCATGTTCTCACTGTGTTTCCAGGTAGTTGCGGAAAGTAAGTGCACTTCAGTAACCTTGCGAAAGAGAGGTAAACACACTCACCTATTTCTTTTGGTCAGCTTGAATGCCTATAGGCATAAATTTCACAGCCAGTGCTAACTCTTGATGTTGATTGCAATGTTGAGCGATAAGCATCTGGTGTAAAGGTGGATACTACTGATGAAGCGTGTGAGTAGTATGTATTTTCCCTATAAATCCGCTTTGCAGCGATTGGAATTGCATTGCAGCATTCGTTTTCATTTGAGTGATTGTCAATGAGTATTCGGGAATGTTCAGGAAGGCAGGTTCGAGCAGAAGACGCATACACAGTTTTTATAAGCCAGATGCATATGTTAGAGTTTTGCTTTCATGTCCAATAGTCCGTAACTGTTCATTTTGCTGTTCAGTAAGCTACTCCGCAACGGAGACCTTCTTCCTTCCACAGCCATTCTGGATTTGGAAGGGATACTCGTGTATAAAAACTTGCACACGTTCACTTGTCTTCCAACTGATGGCTTTTTGTTTCCAGATCCCAGTGTAAATGTCGCGTTCAAAAATAGACCTGCGGCCGAGGGACGATGGGTGGAACAACTCACGGATGGAGATCCGTTAAGGCCATTCGCACCATGGCCCATTGAATTCCCCTATTACTACGTGAACTTGGTGGTATCTACACTCTGACATCAAGATATCGGGAGTTTCGGTAGGTGTATTTCCTATGAGCACACCCTGTTTTAGACTTAGTTGAATGCTGATATATCGGTTGTCCATTCGAACGACTTCCGGTATTCTGTCCGAGGTTCGACTTGTTAATAACTTATGATTCTAGTGAATGGACAAGCCACCGATGTTTGGAGTTATATGAAATTTAGCTGTGGTCAGGCAATCCTCAGGCGGGAATATTTCCACGACTTCCGCTGTCCGAGGTTCGACTTGTTAATAACTTATGATTCTAGTGAATGGACAAGCCACCGATGTTTGGAGTTATATGAAATTTAATTTAGGTCAGGCAATCCTCAGGCGGGAATATTTCACCGTATTATCATCATATTATATATTTCATTATATTATATTATTTTTTATATTTTTATTATTTACATATACTTTGCTATATCATTATTATCTTATTATCTTATTATTACTATACTATTTTTTATTATATTATTTATTATTACCATATTATTATTTATTATCATATATTTTACACTACTTAAATTACTTTAGTAGGGGCAAAGTAACTACGATGGCCCGATTGCTCTCTTCGCCTCACTTGTGTAAGGAGTTATCCAAAACCGGAATTTCTAGAAGTTAAGCGTGAGGATTTGGCCTTCCATATGATGTCTATGAAGCAAGTTGGATTGAAACCACGACGGCATTTGTTTTTGGTGAATGTATGAAGGCCATTCGCATTCATTAGCGTAGACGAACTGAGCACACACAAGCCAACAGACATGAAAGTGACCACCTCCTATGCCTTGTGTATTCAAATCTGAACATTGCTACGCATCCCGCTGAACCTGCAGGGACACGGATGGTGCTTGGAAACAGAACATAGGCTGATCGTACGCCTCACTAGTAGTACACACCGTTACACTGGAACTAGTCTCTGGCTGTATTCCGAGTCCCATTTCCACCTCCATGCTACTCCTTTATGACGTCTCAGAGGACTACGAGGTGGATTAAAAACCAGAGAACGTCACCACCGGTGGAAGGAAGTGGGCCGTCGCTGTGAACTAGAGGTCAGTCTGTGTGTGGTTTTGTTCAAAGACCAGTAGGTCGTAATGCTTACACACGGCGTCGATTACAGGAACCCATATGGATCCAGGATGCGACAAATCTAGCAATCGCATAGTTCAGGAACAGTAGAGTCTCACCTCGAGCAATCCTACTTCGGTTTATGGTGTTAACAGTAACAGCTTGTGAGACTGAAGCACTTCATTCGAAATTTTTTGCCCCATTGGGGAGCTTACTTTGAGAAATACTGTGCGGAAAATTAATATACGAATTTTTTGGCAGCATGGTATCAAACAGACTTGCAGAATTCCAGAGAACCATAATCAGCCAGTTACTAGCGGACCACATCTGTGTGTAGATTTTCGGATTGCAGGCGGTAGTCAATCAGCCATTTGATGTTCACACCTACGGCGAATATGTAACCCCAAGCTACTTCACACACTGTTATCATTGGGATGTACTTGCCAAGCCTAAGGGCGAAGTGATCAATCTGCATCTGACGAAATTAGTCCAGTTGATCAGAATCGGTCGCAAAAATCCGAACCCTCCCGCTCCTGTTTCGCCAATTCTTATGTCCGAGGCTGAGGCATTCGGGACTCTGCTGCTCGAGAAGTTCGTACATCAAATGGCACCAGAAGGAACACTCCCCGAATATTAATACGTGGTAGGTTAGCTGCTCGTTTTTCGCCACTTGGTTTCACGTACATCACTATCAGGAACGGTCTTTGTCAGAGGCTTGCTTCCTCAACAGTCTTTCCCCATAAAGATCCTGAAGGAGTCACATTGATTTCGTTAGCTGATAGCTGGGGAAATCCTGTGAGAGCTTCAAGACCACATGAAGCCCTTGGCAGGTGGATACTGAGATGGGTGGTCAATTTACAATTTGCACCTACTTACCAAGTCAAGTCAAAAGTAGATGGCCGCAGTAAACTGCAAAATACTCCATCCAGTGCACTACCACCATGTCTCATCCCAGTACGACAAGCGAATTGACGGTTTCTGAAAGCTCCCTTTGACAGTTTGATTACAAGAGGCAACACCATCAAATGCTATAGCAGCCGAAAAGACTTTAGACGTAACGAATTTGATATGTACTTCTTCTCTCTGGCTTTACAGGAAGCCGGAACAGGGTTTCATTCGTGCTATAACTACGTAGCGTAACCCGCTCCACATAACCCAGAATATCACTTCATCGCCACTGACTGCTGGGATAGTTCACTGACATCTGCAAACATTCGCTATGGTAAAAGTAAAGTAGAATAGAGGCTAACAAGTCAATGCAGGCACACCGGTAGAGCGAAAATCACGTCCGTCATGAGTAGTGGAAACACAAACTAATACTTACTTACTTACTTGCCTACTTACTTACTTACTTACTGAATGACTGACTTACTGACTTACTTACTTACGTACTTGCTTGCTTACTTACTTGCTTACGTATTACTTAAACTGGATGATGGTTCATCACATTCACTATTTTACTGAATATATCCCTAGCGGTTTAAGGTCGTTATTTTGCAAAACTAGTACGCGAAGTTGGATACGGCTGGATTCTAACTTCGTTTGCGCTGAATTCAATTGGGTACGAAGCCAAATGTTAACGCCAAATGTAACGCCTGACCTACCTGCATCGCTGAGAGAAAATTATAGCCATTCTGATCGACGAACGTCAATGAAAACTCAGTTTTTACCCAAAGTTCACTAAAATGAAAATACTAGCTACTGACACTAATTGTCTATTATTCTATCTCCTTAGTTGATTCACAAAGTAGGCAACCTGTGTGAGGTCAGAATATGGTTGTCGGCAACCAGGAAGCGCGTACGTGGTTGTCTTATCAGGATGCAGTTTCAGGTTTATTGAGCAGTTCCCTGATAAAAATGTGGGCGAATTAGAAGGGTAAATCCAACCAGTTGGTGTGGCAAGGCAATGGCTTTTTTCAAAGCATCTCGATGGAAATGGCTCACAAGTGAGGTCTATATCCACGATGATTGGGTTTG